CACCATCTACACAAAAAATACAATGTCCTGAGTGCCACGGATAACATGTGGAATGCCATGAATGTTTTCTCGCAGCTGTACCCTGGTCTCAGGTCCTTGCCTCCCACTGCATCGACACGGCTGTCTCCGCATTCACTGACATCCTTGAAGGTGCCTTGGACCTATATATAGGAAGATCCTCACCTCCTCGTCGGAAATCACGCCACAAACCCTGCCCCTGGATGACTCCATCACTGAAAGCAGCTATTAAAGTCAAGAGCGATCTCTACAGCATCTACCGGAAATACCCATCCCCTACAAATTTCAACGAATACAAACACCAACGTAACTATGTAAAATGCCTTTCCAGATCCTGCCATCGCTGCTACATCCGAAACCTCCGTGCCACGATATCTCCCACAAACCCTCGCCTCCCATCCCTCCCTGTGCTCATTCGTCAACTGCGAAATCCTTCCAGCGCCCGGGTTATACCTTCGAAGATGGTGGGCCCCAATGGTCGAACAAGCACCTCTCCGGCATCCATTGGTAACTTATTGAACCGCCACTTCGTTAGTGCTGGCTTACAGGTTGACCCCGATGCTCCTATTCCCACTATTTACTCTCTACCTCCACCAGCAACTACATTGCACTCCCTGATCATCACCTCATCGACTGTTTACAAGTATATTGCAAGACTGCCTCTGAACAAATCCCCCGGAGCTGATAGGATCACCAATGAGATCCTCAGGAAACTGAGCAACTCAATTGCCCGCCCACTCTCCATTCTTTTTAACCTTTCCCTCTCCTCCGGCATATTCCCGTCACGATTGAAGTCAGCCACTGTCATTCCAGTGTACAAAAATAAAGGCGACAAGAACAACCCGTCTAATTACCGACCAATCTCCCTCCTGTCCTGCGTCTCCAAACTGCTAGAGAGAATAGTGTACGACCGCTTGTACTACCATATCTCCCCTCTTCTTCACCCCACACAATCTGGCTTCCGTCGTAAGGACAACACATCCCTGCAATTATCCCGCATAATCCAAGACCTCTGCTCCCTAAAAGACCAGCGGCAGGTCTCCTGCATCTGTTTCTTCGACCTCTCCAAGGCCTTCGACACCGTGTGGCACAAGGGCCTGACCGCCAAACTTCGTGCCCATGGTGTCTCCGGCTCCCTACTCGCCTGGATAACTAGCTACCTCTTGGACTGAAATAAGTGCGTCACAGTAAATGGAACCTTATCTGACCCTGAGTCTGTGACATCCGGAGTGCCCCAGGGCTCCATTTTAGGTCCCCTGCTCTTCCTCACATACGTTAATGACCTCCCCTATTCAATTCCCAATATTTCTTTGTTTGCAGATGATACCACTGTCCTTGCTTCCTCCCCATCTCACGCCACCCTGTACCCCAAAGTTCAGACCTGTATCAACGACATTGTTCACTGGATGAGCACTTGGTACCTTAAGCCAAATGTGACCAAAACCGAGCTCCTCCTGTTTCACCCTCCCACAGATCCAGTGCCCATCTTCCACTTTCCCGATGATCCCGGTCACCCTATCTCTGTAGCGCCCCACCATAAACACCTTGGCATTGTCATAGATTCCGCCCTCTCCTGGTCTCACCATGCTGATCATGTGTCGTCCAAAGTATGCCGATCTGTCGGCATAATGTCAAGTCACTTGTCCCATTTGCCCAAAAATTGCTGGATTAATTTTTAAAAATCATACATTCTTCCCCTCTTCACGTACGGCTTCCCTGCCTGGTCCACCATTAACAAAACCCACGTAGGTAAATTAGAAGTTCTCCATCGCCGTATACTGCGAATCATATTCCGTACTGATCGTTATACCTCAAATCTAGACTTGTATGCTGCTGCATCCACTACCACTCTGCAACATTACCTTGATGCTTCCAAGTGCACCCTGGCGCATTCAATTTTCCTTGACCAGCACCCTGCTCATTTACAGTCCCTTAATTGGTTCAATTCAGGTGGCACCACCCGAAGCTGCGTTCGTCTCCCCCTAGCTAGGTCTACCCTATTCGTAAATTCCCCTTTCTTTTCCTCCTACTCCACGTGGCTCCAACTGCCTCCCAGTGTTAGACAAGCTCCAGATATGCCCAAATTCCGTACCCTCGTCAGACAGCACTTCAGTATCTCCCAGTAAACAAAGTCACAGTCACCACTTCCGCTGCATAGCTCGCTGAGCATCCCATTGCTTTGTAAGTTGCTAATCCCTTCCCACTTTGTGTACGTGCTCTTAATTTTCTTTTTTTCTCTTCTTCCGTGGTTGGTCCCACCCTCTCCTCAATTCAATTGGCTGTCTTGACATGCCACGAGGTGCATAAATAAATAAATAACACAGCAGAGACCCTTCAAGCAGCAAGCATAACTCGTTCTCGTTTGTTTCTTCATTTGTTTCTTCTCCTTTTTACATAAAAAAAACACATTCATGGGAGTACAAACGAGTTAAGCGGGATTCACAGAAGCTTTTTTTGCGATGCGACACGCGATGCGACAGACTCGAAACCGGGAAAACCCCAAATCGTAGCCACGTCGCACCCCACGCAACTGCCGCAACTGGGCCATCGCAGGCCATCGCAGAAGTTGAGCTTGGCTCAACTTTTGCGATGCGATGCGATGCGACAAGCGATTTGGCGTACGATTTTGACCTTTTCTACAGCAAAGTTGTACAAAGGTTCAAGAGTTGTCTATAAATTTGTACAAGTTGTATCAAACCGCGCGAATATCATGGTGGCGTATCCAAATCAGCAAGATGTTGTCGCATCACTGACTTCTTCTGTGAATGGTATTTCGCGAGTTTGCATCGCACGCGTCCGTCGCAGATTGCGTCGCATCGCGTGTCGCATCTCAAAAAAAGCTTCTGTGAATCCCGCAGCGTACAAGAAAAAGCTTCCAAAAAACTCCATGAAGTAAACCTTGCCTCACCCTAGAAGAGTTCTTGGGGCAGTACCGCTTGGCCACGCCAGTATTCACGAAGATGAGGTTCATCATCCCGTGATACAACACATGGTCGTCTTGGAAATAGCCAAACGACAAGCGTTAATAAAACAGCGAGCTGCGTCCTCAATAAGCAAACACTATACACCGGCAGATAGTAGAACACCTCTTCTAGCATTCAGGACATGTCCACAATCATCCTTTTTAGGTTTTCTTGAAATACACAATTTTTGTTTTTGCACTCGACCATGTTGAAACAGTTCCAAACTCGTACCTGCCCAGGAAGGCTCGCCCGTCCGCAACCTATAGTCAGCCATTTCCACTCCAACACCACTCCCAGCGCTGCAGAACAAAGTTTATTGTTGACTCTGACAAGGAAAAGCAGCGGTGATCATTTTTCACTCCAAACGACAAGGTTCTCCTTGCGCCACCAACATTTAATCGGTGCAACAGTTGATGGAAAAGTGACTGAATGTTTTCTTGGATTTTTGAATTTTACTGCAAGAGGAATGATGAAATCATGTGCCTCGTGATATAGAATAATGCTTTCTGGTGCCCGACACAATGCACACGATCACGACCGTTCGTGAGGCGCTATCCGGAACGGACCATGAGGGAGGAGGTTCGATGCATTATATTCCTGCATGCTCTGCTCAGAACATGCAGATACTATCGAAATAGCGCTAGAAGTACTTCCATTATTAGTGTTAATGGTGGAGGTGACTCAGTATTTCCATTGGCAAGAATTCTTTGAGATATATCATCTTGCAGTAAGAACAGGTATGCATTTTTTCTCACACTAATCTAGCTCATCTCGAACATTGTTCAACAGGAACCGTGGTTAGTTTTACATGCTAATGCTCGACGTGCATGAAGATCGGCAACAGCAAGGCATGATCGTCGAGCATGCCATCGAGGTCGCTTGGAGTTGACCAGCGCGCTGCCTACACTGCTTGGGGTATGTGGCCTGCAGACATGTACATGGCGGATTTCTTATGTCATGAACAACGTGATTTGACCCTACTGAGAACACGTCAGGTCACCGCGAGACAGCTCACCGCGCGACAACTCACAGCCGACAGCTCACCGTGTCGTCAACTAACAGCCAAGACAACTCACAGTGTCGTCTACTCACAGCTAGACAAGTCACAGCCTCACCAACTCACAGATGGACAATTCACAGCCACACCAGCTTAGCAGTGTGGTTACTTTTCATTGATTGGCTGCTTCTGATATCACCCTGATGCCACTGCTGGAACATGTTTTGGCTATCAAAGCCCACAGTTGAATAGAAAACAATGGAGCGAAAGAACGAGATGAGTATTGAAGTGAACGCTTTTAGACCTTTAAATTCAAGAGGAGACTGTCTGCGAGGAGAGGTTAGGTTCAAGCAGGGTAGGACACTTTACCCTCTTACTCGCGTATCGACTGGTATATGTTCCATTCTGTTCCCTTCCACGACAAGTCTCCTACGAAGCTTCTTCGCCGATTCTCGGACAGATCGTACGTCTTCGCACTGTAGCCTCTCGTCTCCCTCAACGGATCCCCAGCACGAACACAAAACGCCAGCCTTTGCGGTGGCAACATCTTCGAGGAGGGAAAACCTGCAGCTAACCAGGAATCACCGACAAAACAAGTGTAATACACAGTGTAATTTGCGTCATCATTCTTTGTCCCAGCGCAGTATGTATGTAGCATTCACGGGAATAGAAAACGGATGAGTCATTTTATTACGACAGCTTGCACTGGCTACTAGTGCAACGCTGCCAACATGTTCAATGACAAAGTCCACAAGCACATTGGGGAGAACTGTTGGGCCTCGGCAGCTTTCTCTCCCTCTTCCCCCTCTCTCTTACTCTCTCTCTTTCCCTCTCCCTCTCCCACTCTCTCTTCTTCTCCCCCTCTCCCCCTCTCTCTCTCTCTCTCTCTCTCTCTCTCTCTCTCTCTCTCTCTCTCTCTCTCTCTCTCTCTCTCTCTTTCAAACAGGTTTTAGTACAATACCCTACAGAAATTGCGTTATACTAAAGGACATTGCAATACAGTCGAACTACCAAAAAGGAAACCAAAGTAAGGTAAAATAACACCTGAAACAATAGCACTGAAATATACACATGTGAACTGTAACATTGAAGACGAAAAGAAACAAAAATCTTTTAATGCATGCAACGAGCAGAGATGTTATTGACAGGCAAGCCGTATTGTCAAAGTAGACAAAGCGGGCGGTCGTGGAAGATAAAAATGGATTAGAAAGAAATCATCGACTGTAGGTGGAAAATAGGTAGAATTGGGTGGCACGGTGAGGATGAGGAAAAAGAAAACTAAACCACGGTTCGCGTCAGATTCGGCCAGTTTTCCGTATCCGTAGGAATGCCAACACCCTTCAAGGATCAAAAAACACGGAAAAGGATACTCCAAAATAATGTGATAGGGTGGTGGGGGTATGTTTATGTTCATTGGGTGACTAATTTCACTTGGTGTATTTTCGCGAATCGAATTAGAAACGAAGCGTGGAAACAAATGAGTGATTTCGGAAGTCGTCGGCGCTGACAAAAATAATTTTAGTCCTGGTCTGGAAATTATGAAATATTGAAAAACTAGCGAATTTGATCTGGCACCGAAGTAATTTTAGATGTACATGCTTCAAGTTTCCGCGCAGCCCTTCTGTGGCACAGCATATATGGCAGAAGGATCAGGAAGCTCAACCGGCACAGTGCTGATACCAACCACCTCATCTCTTCTTTCAAGGGTGGATGCGTTGCACAATCCATCATCGTTCAGGGAGATGGCTGGTTCTGCATAGATGTTAGGATCAGTGTCTGTATCAGGCTGGTCAGCGCCTTGATAGGAGACTGTGTCCTGTGGGTTCATGTAATCGCCCTGGCTGTCCTTCAATACTTTGAATACCCGATATGGCAGAGGCTTTGGGACCTGAGATGGAGACACACATCTTGGAGTGTCTGACCCAGCCGGCGTCGATGTAGATGTGGCTGGAAGGGATAAGCGAGATGACTGCGGGTTTGTGCTGGTAGTGGTGTTGGTATCGCGGCATACTACTGTTGTTGCGTCGCTCAGACCACGGCGTTGTTTGCGTTCCACATCATCTGGATTGATACACTTCTGGTTATGTACGGCGGATTGCGCGGACCTCGATAGGACGCTACGTGATGTTACATCCGTAGCACGACATATGTGGTCGATTGAATGTGTAGTGTGGGGTTGTTCATCACCCTTAGTACCCGTGCACTCCTCTGCGTTTTCGTAAGGTCTGCGAACATCTGTCGTATCCGACTTGTGGGGAACTGAGTAGCAGACGGCTGGGGCTTCTTCGGCTTCCTGTCTGGCTGTCTCTGTTTCCTGGCTTTTAGGTTGTGAATGGACATCCTCGATTGATTGATCAAACATAGACTGCACGCTGGCGTATGGCTCACCAGCATCTTTCTGCTTCGTTTCCGTGTTGACAGAACACGTTGGCGCAGCACCATCACGGGTAGCATACGTGTAAGTCTCATTCTCCGTACAACTGTCATAAAGAGCAGCAGCTTTATCAGGAGGTGTCTTGGAAAGGTTGGTTGGATGGCTGTAACCAGGTCCAACGGCCGAGTACAGACCCGGATTCGTCAGTTCTGACGTAGGTCCCCGGTCAGCGCCGTCAGGACCGTTGTGATTCTCGTAAAACTGATTTATTGGGTCTGGCCTATTTTGCGGGACTGTCGATTTACGAATAGCGATGATCCACGGATGACTGCTGCCAGAAAGAAAGGTTCGTGACCGCACCCGTAACAGCAGAATGAAAACGCTCAGGAGAACAGAAAGTACAACCAAAGGAATAACAATGGTAGTAACCAAACTAAATCCTCTTTGCTTTTCATCAAGATGTTCAACTAGGGTTGTCGCTGGAGTCGATGTCTTGATCTGAGTAACAGAGGTGCCAGCGGTACTAGTTGACTCCACTATTGCAGTGTTCGTAACTGGAGTTGGAACTGTGGAGGCAGTCGTAACTGGAGCTGTTGCTGTAGAGGCAGTCGCCTGCTGTGTTGAACGGCTAGGAACTGATGTAGCTGTTACAGTACGATTGGGAGCAGGGCTTGTGGCAGCAGGCGGATGGATAACTACAGAGAACAAACCGCAATAAGAAGAGGGTAGTGGTTATCCACTCATGTGAGAAGTCTGCTGCAAATCAGCAGAATAAAATATTTGAAACTTGGATGTTGAACCAATCATAGATGTAGAAGGGAAAGGACATATGGATACGAGTTAACCCTTTGAGGGTCCATCGTTCGAATTCGAACGATATGTAGTGCGTACCCGCCACTGTAACTAGCTTCTATATAAAGTCAGAAAGTGCAACAACTCGACCCAAACTGACAGAGTACTAAGACATTCGAGGCCCCGACACCTAGCTTTGACACATCTCCGTAGCGCTAACCAACGGCTATCCAACTCAGTAGGTTCAAGGTTAAGGAGAGACCAAAGAGGGGAGGTTAAGCCCAACAAACTGACCACAAGCTACAGTCCAACGGGAACAAATATTGTCGATTATTAATGGGCGATGACGAGACCAGGAAGATACTTGACAAAGCTGTCTAACTACAATTCGAAGCAGCACACCGCCCAAGTTGGTTGGCTCGTGTCATGCATGAGGAGTACTGTAGGACTTTGGCGTTCGGTTTCTTCAATTCGGTTTCGCTAAGCTTCTCCCTTCTGTCCTTATCTTTGATATTTCTGAGCGAACAAAATTTGGTGTAGTTATACCGCTCTGAAACGTTAGTGAGTTCTGCATAACGCAAACGGGAAAGGCATTACCCCACACCAAAAAGCAGTTTCAGGTGTTAGAACCTGTTTATGTTGGTACCCGTGACCCCGTCCGGTGTAAACAGAAAGAGAACGTTTTGGCACTCACACTCTTCAGGTACTACAGGCTCACTTTTTTACCCACACACACACACACACACACACATAGCTGCCACATTCATTTACTGCTACCATTTCACATCCACTGCATATGGTCGCACTACTGGTGTAAATGACTTGTTTGTAACCGCGACCTGCTGCAATTCCAAGGTATTAATTTCAATTTTGTGACATATGGCTACTATTTTAATTGGGTTTTTTACTGATGCTCACTATGTGGCGATATTCCGCTGATGACAGTCACGAGAAAACGCTCTAGACATCCATACTGTCGTTCTAACAATTGCGTTATAAACGGTTATGAGTGCACAATTGGTAATATTCATTGCTCTCTTGCGCTTATTGTCTCCTCGTTGGTTATTTAAGTATTTATATATTGTGTAATTTACAAATTTAACAGCTTACCCTGGGCAATTATGGCCAATCCTCTTATTATGCGGCTGCTTCTCTCGAGTCTGTAGATGTTGCAACGTGCATCCCTGGCAGAAATGGATATCATCAACTTCGTTCTCTTATTCCTTGTCATGTACTCGTTGAGCGTTTGGGTTGCAGCTTGATTTAAGTTTTCGAATTGAGTGTGCCAGTGGTCTCTCAGCGGAACTGGAAAGTGAAGAGTCTCAAGAAATATGTTATCACTGCCATAACTCACTGTTACTGAGCATGATCCAGTGTACATGAGTGAAACCGCTTTCAATAACAGATTGCAAGGTGATGTGAATGTGAATGTTTTCTTGTAGAGGTTTCCAGTACCCAAATGCAACGCAACTGCGGCCTGATCAATGTCGGGCTGGATATAGATCCTATCTTCATAGTTCTTTATGATTCCATCTGGCAGTGTGCAGTTTGGCAGTAAATCACCGTGGGATCCTGGGCAAAGCAGACCTGCAGACAACGACATTACACATTAACCGGGAGAACGAGTCAGGATCAGCATTGCCAAGGCTCCATCTAATATCTTAAGTAGGGTTTGTTGTTTTTGTTGATTTTTCATTTTATTTAGCAAGGCCATTTTTGGGGTTTTGGAGGGGATGAAAACAATCAAATTTGTTCTTTCTTCTGTGACCTGGCTTGCTATTTTGTTTACAATGATGATCAGGCCACTCGATTTCTAGCTCCGAGATAAGGCAGACTTCTTGTATCTCGTCCGGGTGTATGGAAACATAGGCAAAGCTGTGATGTGCATCCATACGGTCATGTTCAACAGGGAAAACTGCTTGAAGTAGCATGTGAAGAAGCAGAAGGCATACGACTTACTGATAGCCGCTAGCAGGGCGATTGTGTCGCCAAGTACCCTGGGTACCATCTTCCTATGGATGCTGCCTCTACTGTCGATCTTAACAAAATCCACGGATAGGATAGGGCGTGCGAACCGTCCTCTAGCTATGTATGTAAATATTGTTGCTTCAGCCTATTACAGTAAACCTTACAAGTGTACACTCTTTCAGGAAAAACAATTATATTCACACGGCAGTACACAAGCAAGGTCCAGATGATGAGGGTCAGGCGTGAGCAAGAAGGTCTTCATGGAAAACATCGGGGCTATGCGCATTGCATGAAGAGTGATAGTGGCCGTCTCCGAGGCAGAAAGCACCATCTGCTTACAATGCACGAGGAAATGCCGCCATGGATGAACGCCCACGCTGGGACATTCATAATTAGGATCGTTTGCAATGTGTGCTGACTAAACAGTGACAGTACCGAGAATGATATGCGCCAGTGAATTATGACTCGCTTTTGTGCACATCTCTCTCAGAAATCCAGAATCATACAATCATGGTGCCAGTGTTGATTTACGCACGGTTTAGAAGCCCATTAGTGGCGCTCAGGGTTCGATTTCGCTGCGTGGGGCCAATGACGTTTACATAATAGGCTGTCGAAGTGCCTACGTCACGCTGCCTGAACACTCGTAGTTACACGTAGTTACAAGGCCAAATGGGGACAACCGAAAGTCGCGCCACTTGCATTTGTCGTGTTTCCAAGGGTCACGGCATCACTGGTGCAAGATCGCGGCTTCAAATTTTATTTTAATTCAAGAAGTTTCTCCTTTGCTCTCAAGCCATCGTGGAGTGTTTTCCTTCTGGGTGTTCACCCGGACCTGAGAGATAGGAGGTCTTCGCTTGCCGCAGGACAAGGAAGCGAAGCCAGAATTCGTTGGTCTCAGAGCTTGGTGAAACGAGCGAACGTTGTAGTAGAAATAAATGAGACACCCATCATTGCTCCTTGGCCGGCAACTACTTGTAAAGCCGAAAGACAGCACATGCACAGTAGTGGCAAAGCCCAAAATTAGGTAATCCTCCTCTGCAAAGCGAAAACTACAAACTCGGTGACAAGTAGCAGTTCATTTGAAATATAATCTCGCTCAAGCACTCCTCAGTAATAATGGTAATGTAGCTGTGTACATGCTGCTGCCACTTTTACTTTTCACGACTTTGCCAAGCGAGTACATGTACGCGTTTTCAAGAAGCTGTGACGTCAGACTTCCACGGCCTATCCGCGAAAACAATGCATGATCGGGAGAGCATTACTGCGAGCTTCAACGTGATTTAGTGTTGTGTACACCACGGAGTATGTGGTAATTCAGCTCACAATGAAGAGGTACCGAAGTTTGCAGCTGCTGCATGTTGTTGTATGGGTATTCTAGTCTATTACTGTAGTGTTGAGGACTATTTCTAACCGGTGCATGTCAAAGTGTCTAGTAGACATATGTGCGGTCGGATGCTAACTTATGTAGTGCATAGCTATTGTTCGGTGCCACATACATGTACTTCAAGTAGAATCACATAGAATTCTTTCGCTCTTTCCACAGCATTCCTTTCAATCCCGACTGTGTATGTTTAACTGCCTCATAATGGCGATCCTTCTATACAATTGGGAATTGTGGACTCTGTCCAAATTGCTGAACGACAAACTGGACAAATGGCAACGGAGGAAGCTACGCGTACTGCTGCAGATTGTCTACCCGCAACGCATCACCAATAACAACTTATACACAGAAACAAAACAATCTCCAGTTAGTGCCACATGTCGGCGACGCAGGCTGCTGTGGTTTGGCCATGTGGTGCGAGAGGGTCCGGAATCCGCCTCGTTCCAAGCACTGGAGCTATCAATCAACACAAACGACATAAAAAAACCGTGGCCGTCCGCCATTGCGGTGGATTTATACGATTCGGCACGACTTTGAAGGCAGCGGATCTCTCCGTGGAGAGCGCTCTCCAAGCTGCAGGAGATAGACTAACTTGGCTTGACACTGTTGACAGATGCGTCGACTCTGCTCCTGTCTAACAGGTTCAGGGAAGATGCAAGCTGTGTTTATTATTATTATTATTATTATTTCCACAGCACACTGTGCAGAAATTCAAACCAAAATCAGTTCGTACTCAGTGTTGGTTAATCAATTCACCGAGAAAATGAATTGACAATGTGCCAATTTCGTTCGGTTCATGTTTAGACTGATCCTCAGAGAACCCAACACATGCTATGGATGCAAAGAGTGTAAATTTAAACCCAAGTCGAGAGGTGCAAAGTACGCATTCTCTAGCACGCACTTAACAAAAAACGCAAAGAATAGAGTTAGCTTATAATGGTGTGCAGGACACTGTTTTGTACAACTTAGTCACTTCCCAGCAGACCCCAAAAGTCGCCCCACAGTCACTGCACGTGTCCGCTGACCTACTGCACGAGACGATTCTCATATGGAAAGTGGGTTTGAACGGACCAAATCCCAGGCCGGGTACCTCGGGTAACAAATACACAGTGGTACCCGAGGCAACCAACGTCAACCTTTCTTGGTGTGAATGTGGACGCCAAGATGACCTTACGCGATCATCACGTACGCTCAGTAGTCACCCGTGCACAGAATTTTACTTAGGCGAATTCTGTGGATCAAAAGGCAAAGCTGCTGTTTGCGAATATCTTGCAGTAGCTGAGTATTGCTGATTCAATAGAGCTCAAGACTAGGAAACAAACGCTACTTGTTTAACAATATTTTAAAAAGAGATTTATGTTGGATTTCAAGTTTTTTCACAAGATGCTGATTTAGACTACACCAGGCCTGACATGCATACTGGAAAATAGGTAATAGATACGAGCAATAGAACATAGAACGGCATATAACGTTATTTGGCAGATGAGAACGATGAGGATATAGTATGCCAAGAACACTACTAGTTTTCTTGCAAATATAGTCTCCATGAGGAGCCCATGTTAAACAGTCGTAAATAATTATACCAAGGTGCTTATGTTCATGGACAGTTTCTATGGTCCAGGAGCCGCCAGGACGTGATACAGACACTAGCACCGCTACAGAAGAACATCACTTTGGTATTACTAGTGTTGGGTCTCAGCTTCCAAGTCGACATCCAAGAAATGGTGGAGTTTATCTTTTTCTGGAGGTCATTCTTGCTTGCCTTCCTTCACAAGCTGCACTACTTGTCTGGTCCTGTGCAGCTGCTCTCTGTGTTGGCACGGCGCAATGTCCATTCTGCCAGCCCCAGAACTCCAAGCCAGCACGGTAATGTCAGTGGCCATGACCACCAGCTCCAACACCAGCTGCCTGCATCTGCCCCCCCCCCCCTGGCACTGAGGCCCTCGTTCCAACACTGCAGCATTACCGCTTGGTACTCCCTCACCGACCGTTCTTCTTTCGCAGCCTCTACCGCTAGTACCGGCATAACCTGGCCTTGAAAGAACCGATAACATGTGAATGTGGATGGCCATGATAATAGTCGAGAGTAGGTCGGTCTAGAGCTCCTCGTGCCCCCGAGCAAGTATGCACGTGAAATACTGTCGATTACGGTAACCGGACGGATCAGGTTGAACAACAGTCGAACAACTGTAATAAAAAAGGTAAATTTTCGTGTCCGTTTCCGAATGGAATTCACGAGGGCCGCTAACACCCGGTAAACCCTAGCGACAGATGCATCGCCTAACGGTGGGGGTAAGGGGATAAGTCTGACAACCACTGGCACAAGTGCCGAGAAAGACCCCATAAGCCGCATCCATGTACCCCTTGTGCTTGGCCACAAGTTGCCAGTTCACTGTGGGTAGCAGCACGGTTGGAAAAACCGCTCCCAGGCAGGACTTAAACCAGGTGCCTCTCGTATCTCAATCATGGTCTTTGACCAACCCACTGTACCTGCCTGGTGTCATATGCATCGTGCTATCCAGGGGACGACATTGTGGCGCGATATCATTTCCTAGTTCCCCAAATCATTGGTTTGAATATTCCTAAGGGCTACTACTTATATCACAAAGGATTTGCTCTTTTTCATTGTAAAAATCAGGATTGTCATGAACACGAGACTGACAGAGGGCCAGAGTGATACGCACGCCGAGAAAAAGGGAATAGAGGAAGTTGAGGGAGATAAGGAAAAAGGAGACAAGATGAAAGAAAAGCACAGAAGAAAGAGGGAAAAATTAAGTAAGCGACCAGAGAAAAAATGGAGAAAGGGAAAAGGGAGAATTAAAGCTGGATACATAGAGATAGACTGAACAGCAGAAAGTGAAACACACAAAAAACAATAATTATTAGTATTATTCTCGTATCAGTCCCGAATGGGTCTCACGACGGGAGAATTGACTGCGAGCATATGTCTGTGTGTGAGAAAAAATACAAAAAAATACAATAAAAGAAAAAATACAATAATAGGGACGAAATCATAGGGAAGAGGGTGGACAAACACAGTGTTCGAAGACTGATCTCAATGTTAACGAGCCAGGGGATTTCCCTGAGTTAAGCAGTGTTTTTTTTTAAATTCATCTGTATGGAAAATGTCAAGGAGTGGCCAACGACTTACCTAAGTTGTTAGCCTGAATAACGTCGACGAAATCGGGTGTATATGTTTGCATGGCATTGTGAGAAAGGATTCGCGTTTTCCAGCAGTGTTTTTTATCGACTAGCAAGAATGGCAGTACGGTCAGGACTGCTGACAAAAGCTTTGTTGCTTTACCCCGGCTCAGAACTTGACCCACGGGTCGATGTGTGGAGTGGTGTACTGGTATTGCTCAGAGGTTTCGCTGGCTCTGCATAAATTTACTTGTAGGTTCCGTATCTCAATAAAGCTGGTACGCTCCGTTATTTGGAACTGTAGACTGTGGGCTCATTTAATGTCCCTGGCTTTCCTTCATTACTTTAAATACCAGGTATGGCAGAGGCGTTGGTATCTGGAATGGTGATGCGCATTTCTGGTTTTGTGTCTCCAGTCGGTGGCGAGATGGAACCCGTCATTGAAACACGAGATGACTGCAAGTTGCTAGCGGCGTTCGTTTTGGCGAAAGTCACTGGTGTTTGGTCGCTTCCGACGCGACATAGGTTACTCTCAATGATATCAGGCTTGATGACATTTTCCTGGTTGCTTCCAGTTGATTGCTCCGCATTTCTTGAGTCACAGACCGATGCATACTCCGTGGCGTTTGCCGATTGCATTCGCGATTCAGTGATGCTATTGTATGAAGGCTGTTCATGATTCGAAGTCGAACTCTGCTTTGTGGTCTTGTAATGGCTGGAAACACGTGTCCCACCCACTTTGCGGGGGGAAGAGTAGCAGGGGGTTTGAGCTGGGTTGAATTCATTTCCATCTCCCACAGCTTTTCCAAGACCGTGTGCTTGGTTGCATTGCGGTTGTGACTGGACGTCCTGCGCTGACTGATCAAGAGTTGACGGTATCACGCTCGCGTACAGCTCCCCAGCGTCCTTCTGCTGCATGTCTGTGTTGATAAACCTCGCGACCCTAACATCATCACAAGTAGCGTATGTGTACATCTCACTCTGTGTAGCACCAACATTACGCCCGGCATGCATGTCAGGAAGAGTCGATGTAAGAGTCTGTTGGTTTAGAGTGACCAGGACCAATGGCTGAGTAGTGGATGGGATTGATCATTTTGCCTGTTGGTTGCTTGTTGATTGCGTCGGTACCAGCGCGATTCTCGTAAACCTGGTCCCCATTGCCTTGTTTCTTCTTTGATTTTCGAACAGAAATACAACAGGGATGACTACTATTCGATAAAATCCCTCCTGACCTTACCAGCAACAGTACAATAGTTATGCACAGGGAAAGGCCTAGCATAACCAATGAAATTACGATGGGAGTGACTAAGTTCAATGCACTTGACCTATCGGCAGGTTGTCCAGTTTGGACGATCATTAAAGCGGAATTTAGGTTTTTAGTACCAACAGTGCCGACTGCTTCAGATGAAATCAGTAGCACACTGGGCTTGGCTGTAGTCGAAAAATCAGAGGAAGGTGTTTGGTGTTTCGTACTTTCTGGTCTCGACGTTCCAGCGTTGTTGACATATTTGTTAATCGTAGCAGACGATGCGAAACCTGCAGAGAGTACAAATCAATGAAAGACACAGAAACCAGACGGTACTGTTACTGCAGAGGTTCTTTTAGGTGTACAGTGACACAGGAGTCAAATTTTCTCCATGCACGAGATCACAAGAACACAAACCCGGCTCGAGACGAAAATAAAAACAAGAAAGATACATTCCAGTAGATACATTCCAGTGCTCACATCTAGGACGTTACAGCGTATTATGTGGCATTTTATTGCGCAGCACAAGCCTTTCAAACAGGCGCAAATCGTCAAACACGAAAATATTTTATCAATTTGTGTGAAGCTCAGCGACGGAGACAGCGAATAAGCAAGGAACAATGTCGCAAAGAAAAGTGATGACAAACCAAGTGTATGCATAACCATGTTTACGTAGGTATGTACGTGTAGTTAATCTTTGATACAGAATTTTGCTAAGGAATTGGTCCGGTATCCAGGGACGATACCCTTTGAGCAAGAACGATGGCTCAACATGAAATTTACAGATCTTACCCTGGGCAATGACGGTTAGTCCTCTTACTGGCTTATGCTCGATTCCGTATAGATGGCACGTGGATATTTCCGCGTTAATCATCACCGTGAATAGCGTTGTTGTATTCCTTTTCATATAATCTTGTAGCGTTGCAGATGCAGATCCCGTTAGGCTTACGTTTACATCATGCCATTGACGTGTTGGCAGGTAGGGAACTTGAAGTGCTTCAAGAATCCTGTTATCACTGCCGTACGTCACCACTGCAGAACACGAGCCGAAGTACTTCAGTGCAATAGACTTGACTGAAACATTGCATGAAGTCATGAAAATGAATTTCTTGATATAAAGGTTACGGGCTGCAGGCTTTAATCCTACAGCCTTAGGATCACCCTCTGGTTGTATATAGATCGTATTTCCATCTGTGTGAATGCTTCCACCTTCGGGAATGCAGTTTCGGAACATATCACCATTGGATCCAGAGCTAAGGATGGCTGCACAAAAATCATGAAAACACAGGAATGAGTCAGAACTATTGTGGAAGTGGCTGAGTCCAAAATTATATTTCGGATTTGTTCCTCTTGCACGGTACTTGGCTTGTGCACTGTGGATTAATTTCGAGCTCCAAGTTGAAGTATTTCTAACTCAGCTTTTCCTTAACGTTTTACGGTCAAGCCAATGTACATAATTATTATTATTTAAAAACGGTTTCAATTTGTAATTGCGCTCATATTTCCCGCCGAAGAAGGAATTTACTCAGCGAAATATATGTGTCGTAGTGACTTACTGATAGCAACAAGAAGTGCCGAGGTATATCCAAGATCACAGGCCTTCATCTTCATCTTGAAGACGTTCTTGCTGTTGCTGTTCAATCCACTGTACTCCACGGGATATTACGTTAGAACCCCAGCTGTCGCCTCTTTGTACCCTTAGTGCCTTTTGAAACTATCTAAAGAAAAGAAACTCACAGGCATGTTTATATATTATGCAGCGGAACATAAATAGTATGCATGATTGCAGGCCAAGCGACTCCCACCTCGCAGACCCTCTACTATCTTTACGTTTGATCTGAACTGGACGACGTACATGTACATGTGCCGTTATTCCAGAATGGTAAGCGTGCCGGGGACCGAAAAGATCCAGTAGATTATGCCCAATCGTATCTTGCAAGTTGTCCTCTGGGGCGGTGTCAATGTATGTCATACCCAGTAGCTGTGCACAATTATGGCAGACTGGTACATGTTTCTAGTACAGCCGTTTCGCGCTGTCTGAACTATGCCCATACAGCGATCCGTTCTGTTAAATTGAGTCGCAGCGGATGTTTTCACATCGGTGTATAACAAGAAGGTCACGGAATCGATCGAGCGGACGCATCATATTGGCGAGTACTGGGGTGAAGGATGTAACATGTGGAATTATATAGCAGGACTTACTGTAGAAATTGTATCTCGCACACGCAGATCTGCACAACTGAAACCCACGCAATCTTCACATCATGTTCGTTTTACAAGGCTTGAAAACTGTGACGTCTGCAGCGTGCATACGTCAACATTTAACGAAAAATACCGGCCCGTGGATCCGGTTGGCAGCTATGAATAATATTTTGGCCACGTGTACATGAAGGTGTGAATCGAAAGTGCCAGGTATTGCCCGTGGATGTTTCACAATAATTTAGCCCACGGCGGATCATGCTCAGCAACTTAGAGGATTCTGCTGCAAAAACAGTGAAATTAGCTGAACTATATTAACTTTGTGGCGGACATTTCCTTCGATTCTCCTCCATTGCTTTGGAAGCAAACCAAACATGCATGACAATACCTGGAAGACCCTATATTCTGCCAAATATTCTGCAAGCATTATCTGGGGCTCCAACGGGCTACTATCAAGAGTACATAAACTGATTATGGACTCTTGATACTATGATTTGAAAAAAAATGCCCGAAAGCGAATGGATGCACTAAAAAACAGGTTTCAAGTGGTTCAAAATGCAGGGTTATCCTGCATCCGGCTTGCTATGATGAGGCAAGTTCAAGCATTATCACCCAATGAAACCTTTAGTTTCATGCTAGGATGGATTTTCCTACTCCCGACGCGCACTCCACGCGCACTGTACAATGTGATAGATGACATGGACCATATGTTTCAGCAGAGCTTATATCCTTAGGAATTTCTCGTCTTTCACATTGCCGTGAATAGAGCCTTCGACTAAAGTTCAAGGAGAAATTCCAACGCCATACGCTGAACATATACAATAAATTCTGTGATGACAATGGTACCGTATGTGTATGTAAAGCCAAGGTCACATGGGACGGAGCACAATTGAACAAGACAGAAAGGTCATTGAAAGCTACCAGTAAGCCTTTGACAATGATTGGCGGCTGTGATGGTGACCACTAGGCGCGAGAGCACAATTACATTACCGTTCTTTTTTTAAAGTGAAATTTTGATAGAAAAAAAGAAAAGGTGAATATACAAAATTAAAAGGATAGGGTGGGTGTGGTAGAAAGATTTAAACACCGTGTCAAAAATCCTTTCGCGCTACGCAGAAAGCGAACAGGTCATAGATAAACCCATTGGACGGAAACGAACACAGTTCTGAAAAGAAGCACGCAAACAAGAGGCACCAGGAAAAGCGTAGCAGCTAAAATTATCAAAATGTACCGACAACCTGCTCACCGAAAAGGAAAGCATTATGACCGCTGAAACAAGAGAAAAATCCAAGAGATCGCAAATGAAAAATGACATGGAATGTAAAAAAATTTGTAATTTTTAATACATCGTATTAAATAATTTCATCAATCACATCAAAGAATACAACTGGTAAATGAAACTGAAATTTTTGCATGACTAAAAGCGGTTGGATGCCCAAACTGAAGACTGCTGCAAATGTGTAGCGACATTTCTTGGGCATAGCAATGGTGATGGCAATAAGACGTGTGCTAGCCTTCATATGATCCATAATTGTATAGCCCGATTTAGCCAATATTTGTGCATGGAGAACTTCTGGAATGGCATAGACCAAATTGATGTAATATCAGATATTTAATAATGGAGAATGGAATCGCACGCAAAAGATGCAGAAGGAAAAAAAAAAAGATAATAATGTGCCGAACTTTATAAAATATAAGACTGGGAAGAAGGAAGAAGATAATTGCACGCGACAAACTCCGAATGAAGTAGAAAAAGGTGACAATGGATTTGGCGAGCGTATAGCTATACGTCACTGTGCCGGACTGGGGAAGTCTGAAGAACTCAAACTGCATGTTTGCACCAGGGAGTGCGTCCTATTGTACAGTGGAATACACTGCTGTGTCTTGTTGAACTGCAGACTGTGGTGTGTCATTGATAGTGAGTGGTTTGTTGGTACTCCTGGCTGTGTCCTTCATAATCTGCAAAGCATGAGTTCGAGTGGTGCTTTGGGCTAACAGCAATTTCACTCTTCTGTATTGAACCAGCAGGACTGTAATTATCAGCACAAAGACAATTATCACTAGGCTGATAGAGATGGCGAAGGTCACAATAGAGACGCAATCACTGCTGGTTAACGCGTATGTAGCTTGAGTTTATTCAGTGAAATCGGTGATATCAATGTCCATAGCAGGAACAAAGACAAACAAAGAAACACGAGAGACGAAACCTGGTTGTTTCCCCGCATGTACGTTTCTTAAAGTACATACTATCGGCAGTGAGTCTACAGATGTGCCAATCCAATCCTGCTTAATATTTTTATAACACAGTTCAAAATCTTTGCTTGACATGTTGATCACAAAGCACACTTGAAATGAACGTTATTTCCCGGCACTTATAGTCTACTTGAGTACAGTCATGTAGCTCTGCCTAATTAAAGGTTCGCAGGACAGGAACAAATTTTACTCCATATTGTCTCTATGAAACTAAAAGAGAATTCTGTATGTGTTGAATAGAGTGAGTAACGCACTCTACAAACACGTCAGAAGCAAAATCCACATGTCATGAATAATCCTAAACGTTCTCCAGGACCTCTCACTATATTCATTGCGTTATAATTATCTGTATAATCTCCACATTTTATAGACATTTCAACTTCAGAAATCACTCACCATCACATGCTGAACCAGCATATCCGGAAAGGCAGGAACAATTGTAGGATCCGTTCAGATTTAGACATCGCCTGTTTTTATAATTGATCATGTTGTTGCAGCGGTGCGTGCCTCTTGTACACTCGTCAATGTCTCAACATCCATTAAGTAGATTAACAATATCACACAAAACATATTTGCAGACAAACGAAGGCCCACATTATATAGTAACACATGCACGCATACATACATTTATATAAAATGCATATGAACAGGGAAAAACGAATCAAGTAGCAGCGAAGATGAAAATCAAATATCATCTATCTCTCGTTTCTGTCCGCAATGAAAATGGAAGTATGAAGTTAGAACAGCAAACCAGGAGCCAAATTCACTCCCATTCGTCTACTTTTTTTCGTACTATGAAAGAGAAACAGGAGGAGGCCAAAACGGTACGAGTGATGATAAACTGGTCACCAAACGTAACCAGATCATAATACAGTTGGCGAGTGCGACAAAATGGGACAAAATTGCCAAGGAGTACTGTCCGTAAGTTAGCCATAACTCATACCATTTTCCTTCTTCCCTTTATTATACATAATAAAATTGGCTCGCTATCCGTGTCCAACTTGGAAGAACTGTTTTAGTTATGCATGTGATCGAACATTTCAATTATATAAATCACTCACCATCACATGCTGAACCAGCATATCCAGGAAGACAGGGACAGATGAAGGATCCTTTCTGATTAAGACATTGTCTGTTTTCATAATTAATCATGGTGTTGCAATTATGTGTGCCTCTTGTACACTCGTCAATGTCTCCATATCCATGAGTAGATCCAAATTGAGGAACGCATATTCCGGAGCGTGTGCATCCATATGCAAAAAAAGTACGTTTATGCAATTTCATACAAACACATACACCCACCCACACCCACACCCACACACGCACACGCACGCACCCACACAAGAACGCACCCACACATATTAGGTATTCACTTCAATAATAATTGTTATTCTTTCTCATTTACTTGTAGTGGTTTCCTTGCCGAGCAACTTCTGTGGGTTCATACTTTTACTTTTTAAAACTCTAAAACTAATTTTGGTGCATCCATCGAATTATGACGCGCATGACATTGAGTTCAGCTCAAAGTGCCCCACGATGACACTCGTTTCTAAGTCACTACAGAGAATGAAGATTCGTGGATTGTGTCTAATACAAAATATGCACATACACAGCACATGCAGCATGCATAGTGTTTTTGAATATTATAATGCAAATGCACAGCAAAGTCCTAATAAAGCAGTAAGCAGTAAGCAAGTTTAAAATTGATGATCACGTACTGCTTGTTGGTGTTGTTGGTAAACGCAGAAATATGCAGTTTTAAAAGTGGACATGACAGGAGTCATGTTCACTTAGTCTTTACATGACCTACTTTCTTCGTACAGTAAACATTGCGATATTAATGTGAATATGACCAGAGTATAAGCAGCAGCAATCGGCGTTGAAAAGTTGTGCGTTGAAATTTACCACCCTCATCACCCTCTGTGAACGACCAAATACATACACGCACTTACCCACAGCAGCAACAAGAGGTTCCCTCGAACAGTGAAATTTTCCTCTGGTAGCTGTTTTGGACAAGTCAGTGTATGTATCCGCAGGGCCATAGAGCGAACTGGTGGTGGTGAATGTCAACGCAGAATGTGTATATTATTGGGTGAAGACATTATAACTTCAGAAATCGCTCACCATCACATTCTGAACCATCATATCCAGGAAGACAGGGACACATGTAGGAACCGTTCACATTCAGACATTGTCTGTTGTCATAATTGTTCAAGTTGCTGCAGTTGTGCGTGCCCCTTGTGCACTCGTCAATATCTGAATGATCATGAACCGATTATAATTGTCGCAGGATAAAACGCAGACATGGAAACACAAATCCAGGCACATACATGTACATACACACTCACTCACCACATATACACAAACACACACACACACACACATACACCCACACACACACAAACACACGATAAAGGATTCTACACATCGAGCAGCTGCATCATACAGGACCCACTATCAGAGAGCTTCGATGTCGTTAGATCAAACGTTACGGAACTGGGCCTCCTACTGAACCCCGATAAAATGCAACTATTAATCGTCCACAGGAAGACAATCCCAGTTCCACCTACCTTCACTGTCGTCTGTGGTAACTTCCCAGTATCCCTTTCCCAGTGTGTCCGTTACATTGGAGTGCTAGTTGACCAGCACCTTGCCTTCAAAGAGCAGGTCGGGATAGTTGTTGCTGATGTCAACCGTAAGCTGGGCGCATTCCGCAGGTTACGACATCACATCACCACTCAGGCACAACGTTCCTTTTACCTAAGCACTATCCAATCCACCATGGAGTACACCAGCACCTGCTACGTTAACAAGATATCAGCAACCCTATACAACACACTCATTCGATGCTTCAAGCGTAGCCTGAGGATAACATTTTTGGCTACCCACCATGCCACCCAACGGTCACCATTTGTCACCGCCACTAAATCATTCCTGTCGCCATCCGTTATAACCTAAAAATATATTGCCTTGTCTATAAAAGTGTGAATGGCCGCCGCAGCCCTCTACTTGCCGAGCTTTATCTACTAAGATAAAAAAACAACCATACCAATGCCTTGACCAGGGGACAGTTCGCCTTGGCTTTAGCTTGAAGCTTTTTGAAGCTTTAGCTTTAGCTTTTGCTTGAAACTACTAAGCAGTTGAAGGTTCTAGAAGCAGTCTACATTCGCATTCGCGATCCAAATCTTTGTAAACAAAAAGAAAATGTCACCGCACTTACGCTATTCCAGTAAATTCGCACTCACACACATTTGCACATGCATGTCCATTGTCACACTGCACTTGCTGAATTTCCTATCATTTCTCACCTCACCTATAGTTTATTACCTGTGCAAATTGTTCCTAGGTTTGTGCTATTTTTCTTACTATGCTTGTGTCCTCGCTGTTCCACTGCAAGTGTATAAACCCTATTGTAGTTTCATCATTCTCTTTAGTCACGAATTCCATTGATAATTGTGACAAGAAAACGTTCTGGAATACATGATTCGTCCCCATGGTTGTGATATGAGTGCGCATTTAGTTATATTCATTGCATTATTAAGATTATTGTCTCAACGTCGCCTTTTTAAACAAAAAAGATGCGTGTTCTGTCACCAGACTTAAGGGTCTAACATTTGCAATCTTCAGGGAGTGGGGAACGGCACCAGCCGAAAAGGATGAATTTTAAGTTAATATGGGTAGCGACAGGACGAGCATTGCAGCACAATGCTTCGAAATGAATGCCGGAATACTGTCGTTGTACGCAGCTTTACGAGCAACGAATCTTACAAGGAACGTGACGACCACCGCAAAATCCCGAGGCCTGGAATTTTCGCAGGGGATCCTGCTGTGACGGTCCACACGGTAAGAATAGCCGGAAAAGTTTGTTTGGATCGGAGACTACTCGACTGAACTACTCGCTTCGTTCTAAAACGCTTACAGAGGGTCGAGTGGAAGTCTGTTTCCGGCCTTTGAGCTGGTATTATTTTTTCTAACCAAGGTGGGCATTTGCCTCGTCCCATGGAAAGATATTCTTGTAGGATTCAGCCCTAAGGCGACGCGATACTGGCTTTAGCCTCGGCGCGTGCTTGTGTAAACCCAGTACGCTGATCCGTGTCCGACGGTGGGGCTCATTTCAGTTTTGAAACTTCATGAATAATGTTGTGGATCTTTTAGATTTGAATGGATAGTTTCGGTCTTAAGCATGCTCATCTAAAGCAGAGACAACCTTGTCAGACCTAGAATACCACAGGACATCCAGAGCCTGAGCGGTTGAACATTTTTCACAATCCGCAATGGTGCATGTCGTTAGAATATCGGTTCATATTGATATTGGGCACTCTGGAAGAAGACCTAGCTATGGTTTGTTGGGAATGCCCTACTTAACTATTAAAACAACAATAAAATATAGTATGCAAAGAGAAAAATGACCTATAAGTTACTAGTTATGACTAACAGTCCACCAAGGTAAAAAAAGAATGCGATCAGATAGTGCAAGAAGAAGGCATAAAACATTCAACAACCTGAAACCTAGTTCCAAGACATCCACGAAGCATAAACCAAAAACAATCCAACTTGGAAGGCTCAGGTACGGAAAGTTCCAATGAGGGGAAGGGTTGCGCCAAGAAGATGTGAAGGAGCTCTGTTCCCTGTCAACCAAGAACATCGAACATCACGGGATGATGATGACTAGACAAGTAAGACTGACCATTGGGCAAACCAGTCGAACTACAACTCGAAAACAAAAGGCAGTAGACCACCCAACTTTGGACGCTTAACGGTATGTAAAAATATATGAAGACTGGAAGCCAAGAGAAGACGGACTGTCACACACCGAAAACCATTGCCCTTCTAAACTCCATGTTGATGTAACGATGATGGACAAGTAAGTGAGTAAAAAGTAAATTGGCCCAGAATCTGCGAAAACCAGGCTTAGGGCGAAATTTCACAAAATGACTTTTTCCCATTTTCAGCTTCTACTGGGCATAGGCGGTCAGGAAACAAAATATTACTGCTGTGGGTCGACTCATAGTGGTATTAAAAGTATCTCAAACACACCAGGGTGTTGTGTTAACAAAATCCAAAAAAAACACAAAATTGTTATCACAGGAAAGAAATGAAGAGAGATCCACCAGACTGAAGGAAGAGACATGGATGATTTTTGTTTAGGTGACATGACAAGGTAGGCATGTGGAGGCAGGCTTGTTGTGGCCCTTTGGTGCTGCACGCTGTAGTAGCCATGCACAGTTCTACATGAATTTTGTTTGCTTCTCACTCAGCACATTCTGGGGCTGAATACATGTACTGGCATGCTCTGGCGCTGCACACCACAAGGAAACCCGACTCCAGTTGAGATGGCACCTTTTGAAGGGTGAATCTAGTACAACTGTTCAGAGTCAACCAAGAACACAGCCTTTCAAACTGTTCCACTATTCGTAGTAAGCGCATAGTGTGCTGGCGTGCTGCAGTATCTGCTTGGTGCTGACCAGCAAGTGAAATATCAGCAAGCCGTACAATCCCTTGCAGCTAGCGCTAGCTGTCCAGCGAGC